AATCTCTCTCTCTCTCTCTCTCTCTCTCTCTCTCTCTCTCTCTCTCTCTATACGTCTATGCGTAACGTAACTTGTGGGCGAAATCATCTTGAATGCATTCGAGTAACAAGTCAACTCTCGATAACTCAAAGTGAACGAATTACGATGCGGAGAAACAGCCTTTTGCCGTGCCTTGCAACTCGGTTACACCGGTATCTTGCGAACCGTTAGACGAAGTGAAGGGTGGAATTTACTCTCGCGCATGACCTGTTATTTCTATATTAATGGCGCGAGTCGCGAGGTTAACGAGTCCCCGTACTCGGTGTGGAAATTGTTGTTCTCACTCGCGCCCCCGGTAAATCCGCGCCCCGCACCCCGCCTCCGTCGTGACTGATCGTCATGGATAAGTGGGATAGGAATAAGAGGGTTTTCTCCTTATGGCAAACACACCCCGCGTTTACAAGCATCGTCACTTTGCGGACGGAAATCTCCGAGGAATTGCCTCTATATCAACGGCAGATGCCTTTCGGTCAATCCTCATCTTTTCGCGCGCGCGACGTCGGATTTCTCGGCTAGCTTACGGCTCTCATCCCTCCGAGGTGTGCGAGGCAGAAGGATGAGAAGATAAGGCCGGCGAGTGCAGTACACTCTTCGCGTTTGTAAATCGTCGCGTGTTATCGACCCATCGATTTCGAAACCGAGGCGTCTTCATCCGGTACACTGAGCGTAAGGGTGACATATTTGCGTACGTAAATTTAAAGATGACGATACAAGAAACGATTTCACCAACACTTGCGTTTCTTATTTGCTAGCATCAACAAGGGAATCTCCATAAGTTTGAAAATTTTAAATTTAATAAAAAGAACAAACGATCCTACAATCGATCCTAGGGGTAATCTTCTTAAAACTCACATGAAATATTCTTCTAAAGTTCGATAGAAACTTCAGAAAACATGTTATATATATATATATATATATATATATATATATATATATATATATATGCGTATATGTCCACCCCCTGATGCTAAACTCTATACATGAAAACAGCACGCATGTGGGTCGAGCTGTCTTGTCTACAAGCAACCCAACTTCATCTTTTTTTTTCCTTTATTCACGAGACTCTCAATGGAGAAAGTTTGTAGCATAAGCGTCAAAACTCTCGGATAAGCGCCGATAAGTTCGCGACATTGTTACTTTTACTACTTGAAACAATACAATGGGGAGGATTTTTGGTTAGCGTTCACAAAATTATCACTTATAAACGTGAATATGCATATCGATTATTACATTAATATTCTTAGAATATAAAAAATTTTATTTTTAAGTAAAATCCTATTCAGATAATTTTCTTTTTCCTTCATCACGTTTCTCTCTGTTTCAGAAATTTCGGGGCCGGCGAAGACGCAAACGCCGGCGTTGCCGCCGTTCTATGACGAAGAGGACGAGGTGGTGTACGGTTCGGCGGAGGTAGACAAAACGGAGAACAAGCTGCTGGTGGTAGATAACACGATTCACGGACACATGGGTTATCCGTCGCTCGCTACGCCATCCTCCACGACTCGCGTCGGCAAGAAACGACCGATTAACGCCGCCAATTCGGCCGTCAATTCTTATCCACGACGAATCTTCGTTCTGGTATCGTCGCTGTTATCGCTCCTAATCGTTTGCCGAAGATGGTGCTGGTGATGAGAGACGAGAAAGAGCCGAGAAATCCTGAAGAATCCAGTCAGGGCATCCGTCGTCAGTGCTCGCGATCGCGCATCGATTTTCCGCGATGACATAATTCGCTTTCGAAGAGGAAGCGTTGTTACATGCGATTAACACTCGATGACCATAAAATCGAAGTTGTTTGTATAGTAAGCTGCTGTGCTACTCCTGTGAATTCCCCCTGAAAGAAAAGAATAGATAGAATAGATATTCGAAAAAATTCGGTGCTGTTGTCCAAATGTATTATATTTTAACCCTGACTGATCAATATGAAGAAACCGCCAGGCCAGATTCGTGTAAGATAAAAGCTCGCAAGCTTCCATCTTCATTGGCTATTCAGCAGCTTGCTCGGCTCTACGCGGCAAAAACAATTTCGAATGGGCTTAAGTCGCCGCCGCCGACGACGACGTATCGTCTTCCCTGAGTGGCTTATTCGTAATTCGTAGACCTAATCAATGCATGGGAAACTCGCAGAAGGGATGAACCAGGGACTGAAGACGGGAACGTGCTTTGCGAGGTGATATTGATCGTTATACTTGGATCGAAGAATCGATCGGTGAGTGCTAAGTTAATTAAATTCAGGGATCGAATACGGTATAATTTAACTCGGTTCTATTTTCGATATACTTATTATAGTATCAAAATGGTGCCCTAGATTTTTTACTCCCGTGCAAAATTGAACAACGTGATCCAGTACGATACATACGGCAGAATGTCAATGTTTTATTTAATCTCTGCGGTGATTTGAGAAAATAAAATTAATGCCAACATCGAGCTAAATAACGATCTTTAAACGTAAATTATCAACTTCTTCTCTATTTTATTATGTGAAGACATACATGTTATCGAATCAAATTGCGAGTTCTCGATTAATTAAAATTGAAAAGAAATGCTGTAATAAAAAGACGGAAACGATGGACGCGAAAAAGATAAGGAAGAAAACAATGATGCGATAGTAGCTTAAATTAATCAGACAGGCGAAATCAACGATAAGAAGAAGAACATATCTCGAAGTGAAGATAATCCTGGATAATATTCGCGCGGATGGAAGAGTCAGATGCGTAACTCCTCAGTTTCGGCGGCAATAAATCTGCGTGATATGTACATATTTATGTGTATCATATACAGGCACGCTCGCACGTGTATATGTGTGCATACGTCAGGGTAAACTAACACATTCGTGCCACTTTTCCCTAGCTCCCCGCTGCGCTCTCCGATCGCGTGCGAGCGGCGTGGCGTTCCGTAGATAGCCCTTGCGATTACGCCAGTGTAATAGGATATGTATCGCGAGTTTAAATGAGTATTGAAAGCTTTAAAGGAGTTCGAGCCGGAAGTAGCAAGACGCCGTGTCTCGCGCCCGTCTTGGCGGACGCCCTCGATCTCGGAACCAATCGATTGCGGATGAACCCAAGTTCTTCGCCCCACACACACACGCCTCGATCACGGACGTGCGATCGTACCTGTCCCTTTTCGCAAACTTTCTTTTCTTTTCCACAAGGTTACCGTTCAGCCGAGAGAGAATTTTCACTGCACTCTCGGTTAACAGTCCTCGACAGCAAAACTCTTCAGTCAACATGGAATTAAGTATGTCTTCGAAGGAAACGTTTAATGCTCCACTTTTTGAATGCTATTCTCCGTACCAAAACGCTCCCCGGTAGTAGTTGAGTAGAGAGTCGTTTTCAATGATTGTTCACTCGAGAGTTTTGCTTCCGAGAACGGCTCTCGATATTAGAACTTTCCTATGGTTAAAATAAAATTGGACGATATTCGAATATTTACTCGAAAATCCTAATGGCAACTGCCGATTGTGAATTTAACAAATTTGAAAGAGACATTGCATTTTTTTCTCGAGAATCAGATCAAAGACGGAAATTAAAAAATTAATAAAAAATCTCAAGAGCTAATTTTTTTTAACTCATAAGTATATTATTACATATAACGCATTTGATATTTTTATGATAAAAATCAATTTTTTTTAATTTATAATTTTGAAAAATGTAAATTTGCAATACAATATGAATTGAATTAATTTATAGTCAAATAAAAGTGTTGATAAAAATATAAAAAATTACGCATAAAATTAACGTAAAAATTAATATTAATATAAAATTAAAATTTTTAATACAAATTAAAATATATTAAAAAGATTAAGAATAATAAGAATACTTTTCAAAAATCTGTTGGGTATAAATTACAAACTATATAATGAGAGAGAAACTTATAGAAGCTTATAGAAGAGCAATTCAATCAAAATATAACAAGCCAATAGAAAGTTTCACCGATCGTGCGTCCCATGATCAGAAAGTGGTATCTAATTACTCGTTTCCGGTGTGAGCCAAACAATTAATAAGTGTTCGATAGATCAGTGACGATCCTTTTCTGGCGCGAGTTGCTTCGAGCGAATATGCAGAATACACGTGTGAGAGAAAGGAAGTGAGAAATAGAGAGTAAAAGAAAGAGAGAATGTGATACTAATTATATTTTTATATTTCCATCATAGCGCGCTTACGTTTCGTGTTAATAGATTTTTAATTACTAGTAAAATCTCTTATCTAATCGTTGCTATTACGATACTCGGTTTCCGCAAGTAATTTCTTTAATTACATTTGTGATGTTGCAACAGCGAACGTCGTGACACATAATGGCGCATCTAGATCGATCAATTCCGATTTTGGATTTCCATTCCGTTTTCGGATGAACTCCACAAAGTGGATCTAACACGACCGTGGAAAGATAATAAAATCGATCGCATCGATTCCCACGCACCACTCGCTACGACAGTTTTGTATTCACTTGCTAAATAAATCGGGTGTCCCCGTGGGCGCTTGGTTTTGGAGTTTTATGGCAACTGAAATTGCGTCTCGTTACGCTTCGCGGTTCGTTTTCGGTACTCACCGACAGCTCTCTCGCAGGAGCATCATATGTGCTCAATTTCTATTAAAATCTATTTTCGTTTCTTGCGTTTCTCAATAGGTGTTCTTCATGATCGGTTTGCCCATATCTAATTGCTCTTAAATACCAAATAAATCTCTACGAAAAAGATTAATCCTTTCATCGTCCTATTTGACTTCAAAGTAAAGATCGTAATGAAGTTTTCATATCGTGAATAATTTAAAATAACATTGAACTTTAAAAAAAAGAAATTTTAATGACAAAATAGTTATGAAACATTTGCTAATATTGTTCCAATATGTACAACAAAATGGACGCGTTAGGTAATATTTTAGAAAAATCGTTACTTTATCGTTGTATATTCATGTTGCTCCGCTGAAACATCGCATCTGATAAATTTGTCGTTTGCAACGTTTTTCTGGGGAGTCCTTCAATTAACCAATGGCCCATTTCGCATTCGATATAATATGCAACGTGCCACATTCGTCACTGCAATCTACGTCGAAATGGCCAGTCGCAAAAAAATCCGGTTCGCGAAGCATCCTCAAGCGTCCTCACGAGAGCCAATGAATGGTCGCTCTCTCGGTGACCGAAAAAAACCCTCGAGAAAAAAAAATCGCGACGCTTTTTCCCCGACGGGTGAAATCGTGCTCGTTTACGACACGCCGTCGTAGCCTGGCGATACCGCGGACGAGCGTGTTCCCTCTTATTTCGTCGGAGGGAATCCTCATTTCAGAACGATTATCTCTCTCTCTCACTCTCCCTCTCTCCGGCGACGCGAGAAAACGTCGGAAAGGCGGGCCGTCTCTCTCGGTCACCGTGAGAAATTATAAGGGCGAATCCGCCTTTAAGGACTAGAGGAAGAAGATCTTACTTCCTCCATAAATAAACACAACTGCCCGTGCAGCTGGCGCGGACGTAATTCATCGTGAATTAATTTAAGGGCCACCACCGTTTCCCTTTGCTACCCCCCCCCCCTTCTCTTTCTTTCTCGACCGTCCCACGTTTTTATTAAAAGGCCTGCCGCGTCGAGGCCGCCATTTGGCGGCTCTCGCTTTTATGCTGATTTTATTTCCCTTCTTTCGTAAACTCGGACATCCAAAGAATAATTGTGCGGTATGATTATCTTATCCGCCACAGATCGGCGGCAGGTGAACGGTTGCGTGAGATACGGGCCATCGAACCGGATGAGGGTCGAAATGAAGAGGATTTCATGGCTCGCCAAGAGTGATGTCTCTCCTCTCGTTCATCCTCATCCTTATGTCCATCTTCATTTTTATCGTCCGTATCGCAGTACCGCCCGGAGGAGGTCGACGGCTTCCTCGTCGACGACTTACAAACGAGCTTACCGTTCCGTTTGGACTGCGAAGTCGCCTCCTGCAAAGTTGCAGCCGCAGTTGCAGCACTTCACGTTGGTCCTCAACCTACGTCTCTACGGCTAAGGCCGTAGATTTCCGCCTTCCTTCCCCCGCCCTCGGCCGTACGCTTAATCCCCCCGTCGGTTACGCTTATTAAAGTCCCGAGAGGTACGACGTGTAAGCCCGTCGAGGCGATATACACCGGGGACGCAGATAGTTACGTATGCGCGCTGGTTGCACGACTGTTGGTTTATCGCGCGGCCGCAGTCGGTGCGTTTCGCCGTTTCAACGTGCCAGACGAAGGGTATAGTTTCAGAAGTGCACACTTCAACACGTCGCAACGAGAACGATCAATGTAATTCCGCGACTCGCCGCGAAGGGACAAATGTTCCGCGTGTGTATACGCGTAACGTTTACTCTGTATTGTCTCCAATTCCTGAACTGATATCGCTCAGAATGATATCGCTAATCGTCATTTTATCTTGAAAATTATAACGTTAATTGTTACAGCGTTAATTGTTTTTTATTCAAATTAATTTGATGATTTATAAATCGATGTTCACCGATGCACTCTTCTTTTATTCATTAATTCAAATCTCGATAAATATTTTTTTAAATGCCTGTTCTTCAGTTCGAGACACTCCAACATTGATATATTTTGGCACTTTAACTGCCAAACGATTTGGGATTTTTCTACGACACGATCGAACAGCTTCGAAAAGTTTGTTTTATGAGTCTTAAGTGGGTCGATTGAACTGGTATAAAGTTTTAAGAGTTTTGGGGAAGGAGAATTAGCCAAGTTCCTTTATCTGCGTGAATTATCACCTCTGTGGCTCGTCCCTTTTGGCATTTACGTTGACATTGTAAAATAATGCTGTGTTTTTGTCTTCTAATGTTCCACAATCTTATACCTCACGCGATGCAAATTTCAAATATATTTTTAAAATTCAATTATATTATCGCTTTATTTTTTTCGTGTAAAATGTCGATATATACTATACGATTCCTGAACTTTCTTCGTTTTCTTTGTTCCGGCATACCCATGCTTATCTTCTTCATGGCTCCTCTTTTATTTACTTTAGTTTTCGCAACGTGGCTTGTTGCAGTCGTTAGTTTTTCTTTGCGCTTATTGAGTCGTAAATAACATATCTTCCTTATCGAACGAAAACACCGTTGCAAAAAAACCTATCCAAATACCTGTCCTAGAATTTTTCGCTCTTCGAGCAGCAGTTTTCGCAATCTACGAGCTCCGAAGCTGTGTTAGAGTTACCTGTATATACATGAGAAATATAACTAGATTTAAAATATTTTCGATTCACCTCAATAATACAATATCTCACAAAAATGAAAGAAAATAGAAATCGTTTGTCAGAGAAATTTTACTTTTACAAAATACTGATGTATTTAAATTGCAATGTGGCGATTGCAAATTCTTATGAAATCATAAAAATAAGACGGATTAAAGCAAACCGATAAATACGATGAACGTCTTAGAATATGACTACAATTTATCCTATCCTATCAGACGAATAAGAATTTCCCGCGCTTATTTTCCGACTTTGATTTCCGAGAGTTTGGGAATAATATCGAGTATACAGTTCTTGGAGAGTAAAATGTATTGTGGATGTAGCACAAAAAAAAATGTTTCCGCGCGAGAGTTGCCGATGAATTTTGTACGTAGCGGAATATAGGGCCGCAAACCACCCTCAAAATCCCTAAGTTGTCCGCCGTGGAAGTTATCATTGGCGATTATCTGGCAGCTGTACATCACTGCCACTCGGCGAGTCCTACGGCGGCTCATTCCTCCTTTCGCGCTTCCAAATACTCCTCCAGACTGCAATATCAGACAATACAAGAAAACGAAACTTCGAATACGTGGAAAACTGTTAGCGGTGTGCATGATGCGAAGGATGACTTCTAACCCCTTATAAAATATCTAAACTCCCCTCTCTCCCCTCCTCTTCCAACGCTACTTAACTTTAGGATCGATATCATACTATATTAACATCAGAAGAGTCGAGATAAAATAATATTATGTTTTATTTATTAGATTCAACAAACTTATTTCGACTAAATCTATTACTACATATCTTCAAAGCATAGACATATCGTCGATCGTGTTAAAATTAAAAGTAAAAATGTTAATCTTAAGATAGTTGATTCTTAAGGTAGTTAACTTAAATTATGGAAGAGGTCTTTATCCGGCAATCATTCAATATATCAATGTTTTATTTATCTGAAAACTTGAATCTTTTTATTTAAAGGATTTTTTCATTTCTTATTTTTCTTTATAAAAGCTTTTCATTTAATCATGATTTTTTATCAAAAAATATAAAAATGTTTTCTTTAATTAAAATTGAAAAGAAAAATATTAAATAAAGACATAAAATAAACATTTTTTCAAAAATTCAGATACAACTTATCTTGATTCTTCTAATGTTAACAACATACTTTTCCATTGCGTTTTTCATCATCATGTATTGTATACTTTTTGTAAGATAATAAAAGTCGAATATGATTGAAAGATAAAACATGTTTCTTGGATAAATTCATGTAAAGTATCCGATAATAATCGTAGATCATTTGTTATTTTGCGATTTTTGTAATAAT